TGGTTTTATGAGAGGTGCACTCTAACATTAAAAAGCATTTATTTCATCTAACTATTAATATTGTACGGTTTAAATTAACGAACTTAAATAATTTTTGTATAATTTTTTTATTTTATTTTTTTATATAACTTATGTGTTATTAAAATGATTAATTTTTTTAATTTATGTAAAACTTATGACATTAAATACATTCACTCATTTAATAATATGTAAAAATTATATAAAAAAATTATCCCATAACACCACCCTTAAAACAATAATTAAAGAAGGCTTAAGTATTGGAAAAGGACCCCAACTTTTACCAAATTCTCAATTGAGGTCCTCAACATTTGTTATGCTGAATCAAGGTCTCAAACTCATGCAAATTCTCAAATAAGGACCCAATTGGATGGAATCCTAACCAGCCGTTAAGTCTAACATAACGCCCGTTATAATCCATTATACACTCAATACGTGGCATGCCAACTAGACAATAAAAAGCATTCTTGGACACGGCATGTTGTAATCCCACCACTTTCCTTTTTCTCCCATCTTTCCTCTTCCTTCCCACTCCACGATTTGGGGGTGAAATCCCTAGAATTTTCAATCTGCTTCTTTTCTGTGCAAAGTCTTCTTCTCCATCCAACAGCAGCCCACCCCATCCCTACAACTTCTCCGCGCAACAGTCGGCCTTTCTCCATGCAAGATTTGCTTCTTCTTCTTCGCCCAACAACCGGCCTTTCTCCGTGCAAGATTTGCTTCTTCTTCTTCGCCCAATAGCCGGCCTTTCTCCATGCAAGATCTGCTTCTTTTTCTTCGCCCAATAGCTACCCTTTCTCTATGCAAAATCTGCTTCTTCTTCTTCGCCCAATAGCTAGCCTCTCTCTGTGCAAGATCCTTTTGTTCTCCGCTCAACAACCGGCCGTGCAAGATCTTCTTCTCTGCCAACAGCAGCCCACCCAATCCCTAAACTCTCCCAGCCAATCTCTAGTCCCATTCCACAAAATTGGGGGCCGAAATCCCTAGAATTTTCACTGCCAATTCCTTCCCCATTACTTCGACCAATTGCTAGTCCCATTTCATGATTTGGGGGTGAAATCCCTAGAACAGAAGCCCACCCAACGACAACAAGAGCACCCCCAGCCAATTAGTTTAGGTTTGATTGCTGCAAAGAAAGAAAACAGAAAATCCAAAAAATTGAGGTCAAGGTCAAGAACAGTGCAGATGCCTTTCTTTAATTGAGAAAAAAGTTGATTAAAGACGGAAACACTGCCAACATCCCAAATCTAATGAGACACAATAAAAGAATATAAGTGATTAAGAATAAAAAAAGTGATAAATTAAACAAATTGACCAAACTAAGTTAAAGAAATCATTTGCAATTGAGACAAAAAGTTTAAATCAGAAAATAAATTCAAGAATTAATAAAAATATTAAAATCATTCAACAACTCAAATAAAACCACATAATCATACCTGTATGCTGTTGAATGCACACAAAAATATAAAGAAAAGTTGTTTAAAAGACCCCACCAACCAGTAAAAACCTCAAATTGACTTCTTGAAATTCTCAAAAGTCGTTTTCCATTGACCTACTTACAGGCAAAAGTTTTAGGGTTTTTATATTAAATAAGTATAAAATAATCAAAGATGGAAAAGGAGATAGTGGGAAAAGGGTCTTGTGGGACCCACTTGGTCTATGGAGGGTAAGATCTGCCACAAAATGCCACGTTGGACAAGGTTTTTACGTTCAGCATTATGGGTCTAGTTGGCATGCCACATATTGAGGGGTGTAACAGAGTATAACCGGCCGTCATGTTAGACTTAACGGATGGTTAGGATTCCATCCAATTGGGTCCTTATTTGAGAATTTGCATGAGTTTGAGACCTTGATTCAGCATAATAAATGTTGAGGACCTCAATTGAGAATTTGGTAAAAGTTGGGGTCCTTTTCCAATACTTAAGCCATTAAAGAATCCAGAGAGTGCCATCTTTCATAAGCTAGATGGCTGCGAATTAAAAATCCTAACAAGAGTGCATAACATAATAGCATAATAGATATATTTTTTAATTACTTTTTATTTAAAAATATAAATGTTATTTTTTATTTAATTAATTAATAAATTAAAATCATTTTCGTATTAATCGTATTAAGTTATATATGTTATTTTTTTAATTTGTTATATAAATTAATTACAAAAAACACATTTATACTCTTAATTTGTGTTATAAAAATACAGGTCAAATAAACTCTTTAATAAAAAAATATCTTTAATAAAAAAAACACATTCCCAACAAAACTAAATAACTCAATAAAAAAAAAATAGAGAAAGAGGGAAACTCATTAAAGTTGCTCTGATGAGATAGAACAAATACGTGAAGAACTTGATTTTTTATACTTTAAATGTATTTTTGCAGGGTTTTCAGATTGAGATTGCAACTTGCAAGATGGAGAAGGGATATACGAAAACAGAAAAGTTTGCAGCACTCCATAAAATTAACCTTTGAATGAGAAGATTCTTAAAAATTTGGGAGCAATCTCTGTATTCAAGGTATTGTTTTGGAACGGATGGCAGAAAAAAGGACACTCAGTATGAAGGTTACTTATGCTGCAATTGCAAATTTAAGAAAAACAACTTTTCCCAGCCATTTTTTAAGTCGAAGTTCTTTACAAAAATATTTTCTTATAATGTCGGTTTAGTCAAATTTGTTATTCAACTTGCTTACAAACATCCTGTTCAGAGAAGCACAAAGAAAATAAATTAGGTAGGTTAACAGTTAACAACTACCTAGCTGGGTCAAGGTTAATTGGTTGGCGGATGGCAATTACACATGTAGTCTATTTGAAACGGTTGGACGGTAACAGCAAAGGAAAAGGCTGCCCTTCCTCCGCTTTAAAGTTTAAATTATTAATGAAATTTCCATTGTATATTTCATGGCCACCCCTCAATCAAATATTTATGTTTATAGTTTCATTGTAGATTGTATAATAATTTTTTGGTTAAACCTTCAATTTGGTCTTTGAACTAAAAAAATCTTTGATTTGGTCCTTGAACTATTGTACGAACTCTCAATTTAGTACTTACTGTTTACCAATTTGCCTCAAATTGGCCCTTCTATACAAAAAAAACTGACGTGTTCATTACTTAATGACGAAAAACAGTAATTTAACGACGAAAAATAGTAATTTGATGATCACATATCACGTTAATAACAAAACTCGTCAGTTGGTTTTTATACGTAAGGACCAACTCGGGGTAAGTTGGCAAACAATAGGACTAAATTGGGGATTTGTACAATAATTTAGGGATCAAATCAAGGATTTTTTTAGTTCAAGGACCAAATCGAAGTCGTACAATAGTTTATTGACCAAAATGAGGATTTAACCTAATTTTTTTTAATATGTATCACAAACTAAAAAATAATGTATACTAATTTTGAGGGATTGAAGTTCAATATAATAGGCATTACTATTTTAAGAATACTATTTCTTACGAAAAAGGTAGAAACTATTATCTTTTAACATAAATTTCTAAAACCACCTTGCCTGGAACGATTTTTCTAAATATACGACTCTCTACACATACCATATATGACAAGTTCCTCATCAACACTGAAAGAGCTGCATCTTTCGCTTTTAAAATATCGAACCTATATTGATATTGCCATGATAAATAGGTGCCTACATGCTAGTAAAATCCATCGAGAGAGCCAATATTTCTTTAAGAATACATGCTAACAGGGTAAGAGGAAATAGCATAAATGAGTTCTTACTTCTTAGCCGTGTCTTCATCCTTCAAGTTGATCCATGCTTCTATTCCATCCCCACTATTGGTATCAAAGAAAGTAACCAAATTATCCAAAAGCGAGCCGACCCAACCCACAGAGGCTTTCCCCCACCCAAAATCAGCATCATAACACAGGCAACCAGCACAAACTGGTAAAGGAAAATGTCACCACCTCTCCCTTTTTGTCCACTTGTTGTGCTCAAATCCAAAAAGCGGGATTTCTTGGAACCCAACGGAGGAATGCTTGTTTATATTTCAGACAAGCTTACCTTTTAAGCACTTTGCATTTCTATCAGGAGATATTCATTCAATTTTTTTATTTTCTGCTATGATTTACGTGGTTATTAGATCTCCATTAGGTACATGGTATCATCACAAAAATTGCTATTTGGGGGGTAAACAGTGATATCATCCATATTCTTCACCAATATTATTCATCTGAGGTTCAGTGGGTGCCTGCCACCTGACTAAAGTTTCCAATGTAGCTAGTCCACCACACTCAAAGAAGGTGAGTTGCACCATGACGGGTAACTCCTCAGCACCTTCGTCGAGCTAAAGTGGGACGAAGTTATTGTTGTCTCCAGGATCTCAACTTTCCAGAATATAAGAAAGATGGCAGTTAGCCTTGGATTCATAAAGTAGAGACCATATCATTCCAGTGGACGTAAGAGTCGTTCTTAGTCCCTCCTGCTAATGGGTAGAAATTAGTTAAAGCTTCGGACAAAGATTTATTTATCTACTCTCACTGTTGTACACTATTGGAGCTGTTCTTGGTTGGATAGAACATAACCAAAGGCATGAAAACTGAGGGTTGGACTTGATCGAGAAAGGAGGGTTGGTACCAGTGTAGGAGGGATGGAGTAGGAGAAAACGGTCTGATGTTTGTTTGGAGATAACCTGGACATCAATCTTCATGTTTAATCTCAGAGACTAAAAGAAAGAAAATGGAAACAAAGGAGAGGTGGATGATACATCAAGTAATGCATATGCATCCACTGACACAGAATATGGATTCAGCACATGAAGATTATATAGATACATAAAAAAATGCATATGTATTCAGCACCAGCTGACAGGGTTTATATTGAGATGTATTGTGATACTGAGAGTTAATTTCTAAATGCGAAATTGAGTGTATGCGTCCACTCGTAAACAGTTCGACTCATGAAAATTTTGTGATATTCTATACGATATAGTAATTGTGATTGAGTCTTTTAACCTAAGAGAGTGCCTAAATTGACATGCTTTCACTTGTTTAATGTTTATGTCAAATGACTATTGTTCTTAAGTGGACATTCTAATAGTTAAGAATTTGAATTTTCGTGTTAAAGATTTCAAGTTTTATGTTGGAGATCTCAAGTTTAAAGTTTGAGATGAATAGGAAAGGATTTGAAAAATGGAGATCTACTCTTATTATATAGCCCATCATCTGATATACAAAAAAGAAAAAGAAAAAGAAAAATGTCATATGGCTATTGTGCGATAGACTTCATTTTAAAATAACATTATAGGTGAATATATTAAGTCTCTTTTTATTTGATAACCACCTTCTGCATTGTCTATAAAATTCGAATTTCCAAGCAAATTAATGCATGTGGCATGCGGGACATATCCTAATCTAAGTAATAATCAAATGCCAGTATAGAGACAGGTTCTTTTTTTGGCCATTATAAAACATATTAAAAATGTTTAGTGTAATCTAGACTATACCTGACCACACTAAACTAACCCTTAAATGGAGGGTGGTCAGTCCCCTAATTTTGGGGGTTGTCTCCGATCTACAGGTCCCTTTTTTATAATCAGATACAATCTGAACTCTAAAAAAGGAACTCAAAATATGTACTTGAACGGGTGTTCATCCTATGATAATGTCAAACACTGAAATTACTTACCCAAAAAAGATCAAAAGTATAGAGTTGTCTACAAATAAATTGATAGCATGGTTTTGACAAAAGCTTTGGGCAATTGAAAATTAATTTGTATATATGAAAATTCGGACGAAAGGCATATCTGCAAAGGTAATAGTTATGTGACTCAAGGATGTATCTGTACAAAGGCAGTACATGTATGATACATCAAGTTTCCCTGAATGGAATTAATCTGCAACTATGAACAATTAATAATTTACTAACGTTGGCTCATTGTGTCAGTCTGAATGATAACTATCATGGCTAGAGCCCTTTGGGAAATGGTCATGGTGAAAGGGATCATCGGTAGCATGTACAAAACTCAACCTAGGAGAGTAGTTCCATCCCGACATCTGTTCTAGCTCACAGCCACTAGATCTCATACTTGCCTCTTCCTTGAACTTCATGAAATACATGGATGACCAGTAATCCTTCGCCAAGTTCTTCAGAATCAAAAAAAAAAAAAAAATGAAGAACAGCTTACACACAAACACAACATGGCATTAAAGTAATGCATATGCAAATCTGGTTAGTGATTACTTTCGTAACTTGAGTGAAGGACTAACCATTTTCATCAATTGGATCACCTCATTTAGTGCATTTTTAAAGAGATCAGCATGTGCTAGGTCAGTGGTGGTCAAAATTTCCTGGTGGGTTTTGTGAGATATGTTCACTTCCATTGCTGCACCTGTACACCAAAAATTGGGGACAAAATCAGATAAATCCATATTCTGCAAGGTTTTCCAAAATATGAACTGTGAAACATGAAGCGGATGCAGTTCATTCTGGCAGTTAATGAACAATTTGCTCAATTCCATCTCCAACTTCATAAACAAAAGAAAAAAGAGATTGACAAATCACCAACAGTCACTTTGGTGCCCTGTATCTGGTATATACTATCATGCCAAGTTTGTTATGCAGAAATGTTATTCAATGAAAATAAAGTACATACATCAGAGAATGGTCAATTTGTTCAATTGTGTATATAAGTACTTTGCTCTTATTAATCAGCTAACCTGTCCAAAGCAGGGTGCTGCTCGGGCATTGCAACTAAAAGTTTAAAGGGTGGATCTGCATTGATCCACCACGAATTAGATTACATGAAGATTCATGCAGATGGCCATTAAAAACCATAAAGAAGGGAAGTTCTAAAGCCAAGTGAAAAATGCAAGATGATACTTTCCTCAGATTCAAAAAATTTGGACTACACATAGCCCTTTTAGCAGAGAAGGTAGCCTAGCTAAATATGACACTCAAGTCTCTTTGCTTTTATGTTTTTCTTTGTTTTTCTTTCTTAGGACCACTTTGCTTCTCTGTGTAATAATAAGAGAAACCATTAATTACTATGCCAAAAATTGAAAAAGAGATCAACATTTTTCTTCCCAGGTACCATCAAAGAAGCATAACTACCATTCACCAACTTCCCAAAGACTACCAATACTAATGGTTGTACCATCTATGAGAAAAGCCACCTCTGAAGTGAAAAAATACAACATTTTCTAAATTATAAGATAACCAAGATATTTTAAGTTATATAAACTTCCTCATATTAAAACTTAAAAGAATTGATGCTAGAAATTGTGCAGAGGAAATTAACAAATTAACACCTCAGTCTAACTTCCTGAAAAAAAAAAATACACACCTGCAGCTATGTACTTATCGATAATATGCCGAGCCATGTATATTCTTCTTACAGGATCATCTATTGGAATTTTTGCAAGCTCATGCACTTCTTCAAAAAAATGTACAGTCTCTCCAGCCAGACAACTGCAATTAAGAATGAGAAGAGAAACAAATTAACCAAAGTTTCTTTTTGTCTTAGATTATGTGTTCTTTAGTTTCTTGCCAGGGAAAAGGATAGTGAGAAAAAAAAAAAAAGACGTCTCCCCAAGTATCATTCATCTCAAATAAAATCACCTATAAAACCTTGAAAGAGATTCTTTTGTTTTTCTTCTACACTGAGCTTCAGAAAACACTCTGAAAGGCATGCTTGTGTGTGCTGTAAGGTGAGGGGAACTATTCATTCCCACATATCTTTCTTAAACTCTCAAGACATAAAAAACTTTCCCCCAAAATGACATCAACCCAAAATATAAGATATGGGGCTTCAGTAAGAATGCAATACCTAGCAGCGAATGCCATAAATGACTGACGGAATTTCTTGTTAAGAAGCAGCTTTTCTAATGGCTCATTAGGATCTATTGCTACAACTGGTTCTCTTTGCAATAGCAGTCCACTATCTGGTATGCCCAGAGCCTTACCCATGGTTTTAAATTCAAGAGGCTCCCTTCTTCTCAAGCTGATTTGTGAAAGCAGAGGCTGTGAACTTGATATAGAAAAGAAAACCACTACAAGGATACTTGACTGTAAAACAAACCCATCAATGTTAGCAGATACCATAGAAGACTTAAATAAACCAGATAAAATAAAAATTCTTAATGAACAAGTGATACAGGAAAGTCCATGTAGACGCAACTTGATAAAGATGGAAAGAAACAGATAATAATAAAACACACCATAATTAAAAGAAGAAATCTGGAGGCAACTTGAAGCCAAGATATCTCTTCATGAATTTCATTCAAGATGTAAGCAGAAACCCACAACCCTGAGATAGACCAGAAGAGCACAAGTAAGACTTTTATACTTTTATTCAACCTGTGTAATTAATGCTACAAACACCTGTTGGCTGAAAACTACAATTTTTACAGTTAGGATTTCCAAATCAATATTACTTTTCTCGTAGAGTACTAGAACATTATAGTATCATCACCCTTAGTATTTGCCTGTGGTATGTAGATAACCTGCCTGTGGTTGTAAAAGCCCCCAAGAAAAAAGGAAAAAAAATTTTCTAGCAACTATTCATCTTCCCCCTTTTTAAAATAACATGGGTATCCAATTCATCTTCCTATTATTTTCCATTCCTTCTTCTTCTTTTTCTTTTTATTTTTTTATTTTTTATTTTTTATTTTTTTTTAGTTTCAAAAGAAGCAGAGGATGAGGGCAGACATTATGTGGCTTATTGTGCTCATGGAGATCAATATTCAAAAATTTTATAATTAATCCTAATTGTTCAAAAGACTAACCATGCAAATTTTATGCGGGACTAAAAGTGATTGTTCCCTTCATTAGCCATGTCCAATGAATCAGATCCAGCATATAAAACAACTCAAACACGATAAAAAGAGCCTTGCACAAAGCCTAGATAAAAGGAGTACCAATTGATAATGCTGAGACAATTATTCCGTGCCAGAGATCTTTGAGTTCATCAAACCTAAACTCTATATGCTGAATCGCTCTTGTGAATCCAACCAAAGCAGCCAAATATAATATGTGGAGGCATACAGCTGGGATGACCCAGTAAGTTCCCATGTGGCATCTAGCATTAAGAGGCTTCTTTGCATGAATAACTACAGCAAAATAGGCTTATTTAGAAACAGAAATATAATAATAATCAGTTTTGAAAATTTCTTAGTGAATAATACCATGGTTTTTACAACAGCAAAATAACCTAATTATTTAGACAGATAAAATTGCAATATTGGTCTTGTAGGCATTCAATCACATATTGGATCCACAAGCACACCATTATTAGGGAAGGTTTATCCACTTAGAAATCCCAAAGCAAGACTTAGGAAAATAAATCAGTCGTGGAACCTTTTTGCTTCAAGAATGGGTCCAAGGGCAAAGGTCACATTAGGACCATTTACATAGGTACTTGACCAGTCAGTTTCTGGCAGTTGCATACCATATATGCACCATAAATGCATTTTTTCAAACATAACAAAAAGCATGATACCACTAGATGAGTTGATGACCATAAATCAAACAGCAAGGATGTGCCAAGGAAATCAACTTGAAACAACCCACTATCAGAGTGGTTCCATTTATTATTTCAAAATGTGTCTAAGAGGCATTAGACAAAATAACTAGATAATAGAACCCATTTACAGAAAGTAATGCCTGGGTAGCCTGACTTGAAGCCTAACATAATTGCCAACTTGCCAAAATGGACTTCCAAATAGGAAACTAGAAACAAGGCATAGGTTCTTACATGCAGCAACAGCAATCCAAGGCAACAGCATCAACGGAAGAAAAATATGAGATCTGATTGCTGGTAAGCGCCTCCTGTAACATTGATGGCATATAAGTGGAAGTGGAACAAATTTCAATAAAATAACCTGTATGCAATAGATAATAACTCCTCCGCCAAAAGTAAGAAGTTCAATCAGGCAGATATGGAGCAAGGGAGCAAAGCTGATAAATTAACAGGTTGTCAGCATGTTGCAACATTTCTTTTGAAGAACCTAGCTTGTGAATTGACCCACATACAAGAAAACAAATAATGAGAGTACGTTTCATTTTGGATTTAAATTTTGACTAACAGAACCAAGGATTAGAGATAATTTATAGACCAACAAGTCCCTAATTTCCAGAAAATAACTTCTTTCCCAAAATCTTATTTCTAAGTTTTTGCTAATATAAAGCCAAAAGCCCTCAGGCTGTATTAGGTTGCCGGGGAACCCGACAAAATTTTCCTGGGAATGTTGCAGTCCAGCTGCTCCAGGATTTTGCTACCGGGGCTACTAAACCACCATTAGTCGATTAACTACCCAGCAACAAAATCCAGGATCAGCCGGGTAGCTGTCACATCATATGGTTTCCCCAGATTCTTTTTCTGGGGACAGGGCAACTAAACAGGCTCTTAATCATCTCTCTCTATATGTGTGCATCTTTTGTTGGTTCTATCTCTTTATATTTTCTGGTAGTCTGCTGTATACAGAGTAGCGAGAAAAATCCTCAGATCATTCACAAGTCTAAATATAGGCTTCATGACCTTTTATTTGCAAGTAGCTAAACAATTGTACTTACTTGACAAAAATATTATATAGTTGGAAGGCCTGTGCTATTCGGCAGCTTAGTAGTAAACCAAAACCAAGTGGCCCCTCAACCCACACTGAAAGCAGTAAGATAATACTTCAGAATGTTTTGTCAGCATATATAAAAAGTAACAAAAAAAGGTCCTAATGGTAAAAAAAAGGGAATAACCTCCCCAGATATAGCAAGAAAGCATCCAATGAGTCTTTTTGAATTTCAAGAAATGGACAGACATCTGCATAAAACATGATAAAGCTTGTCATAACGATCATTTTAAGCTTCTAGCAAACTAAAAGTTGTTAATTATTAGTAAGAGGAAAGCTTATATGCTACCACAATTGATAACAGAAGGTTGAAGCTGGCAAAAACTTGAATGACTGGAATCCAGAAGCCACTTCCTTTAGTTCGAGGAATTTTGTGCAGTACACAGGGCAAGATTGATCGTGCAATAAGTCTGAAAAAAAGAGAAGAATCAACTAGGTCCATTAGCTGAAGTGACTTCTAATAACATCTCTTGATTATACATATACATATACATATATATATATAAGGAGGGATCCACTTACACGCAAATCTTATACATCACACTTACACGAAATCTCAACCATTCATCTCTCCACTTTCAATAGTTGAGATTTATCACGACTTTTTAGAAGAAAGAAATAATTATCTTTAACAAATGTGAATAAATCTCAACCACTGAAAGTAGAGAGATGAATGGTTGAGATTTTGTGTAAGTATAACGTGTAAGATTTGTGTGTGAGGGAACCTCATCTCTCTCTCTATGTATATATAATAGTAGGGATAAACTTACACTGGTGTAAGTTTCAGAAACTCATGTTTGAAATTCAAGTGTTGCATTAATTTCTGAAAATTTGAAATGAATGATTGAGAATTGGTATAACACTTACAACAGTATAAGTTGACCCTAACTCTCTCTCTCTCTCTCTCTCTCTCTCTCTATATATATATATATATATATATTTGTGTGTGTGTGTGTGAAATATTGAATTTTTTATTGTAATTTCATAAAGTAGCTTAACCTCAGGCTCTAATAATTTAAAGAACAAACTTTTAATTAAGCATGACAAAAACTTGGGATCTACATTTCTTTAAATAAACATTTTCCAACTCTAAATTTCTAATCTCTTGTCCAGCTCAGTTAAAGTTTGAACTTTAAAAAAGACTAGATGCTTGATGGGGCTTGACTTGCTTAGGATGCTTAAATCAGTTGGGAAGGCAGAACCCAAACCTAGAAGAACTTCCGTAGTAAGGCAAGGGAACAAGTCCAAGAACTTAATTTTGTAATATGTAGATATGAAAATGGCAAATTGACAAAGAAACGCATCTTCTTGACCAGTTCCATAACTTCCTATTTGGTACAATCCTCAACTACTGTCTACTCGTAATTACAATCTCAAGTTCTCATAAAAAAGTCAACAACGATAATGTTGCAAGCTAAGCTACGATTTTCAACAAGGAAGCATGAGTAAATCAGAAGATTCAACATATTAATTCAAAATATAAGATATCCTCACGAGAATTAAATCCACTGAGGCATATCATCGAACAGATACCGGATGATTTCGAACAGGTTAAAGATGAGAAGCTAGAATTCCAAACGTTAAACCCAAAAAAAAAAAAAAAATGGAAGAAAGGAAGTTACAAGATAATAGACAAGATGGCGATGGCGACGGCAATATAATCGCTGGGACAGCCGCCTTCGACGGCGCAACTGGCCATCTTCTTGCTTCTGCTATCTCCGGCGCATGGATTAATGACGCGAAAATCTAAAGAAGAAAGGAAAAGCGTAGTCTTTACTTTGGCTGTAAAAAACACGGCAGTGTTTCCGACGAAATGCACGTGGCGGTACTGACCGGCAAAATCAGCTGTTATTTTTGACCAATCACGACTTTTGAGTCATCCAGACGTGGACGTAGCATATTTTTTCAAAGAAATAAAAAACACTTTTTTTTTTTTTGCCGTCATTTTTATTTTCTTTTAAGTTGATTTATTTGAGAATTTGAAAAATCATGACGTAAAAATCATGACCTCTTTACATTCAGCACGTTTCGATTTTCGATTTTCATATTTCTGTTTTTATTGTTTTATTTTTCTTGTCTACTGGTCCGCTCAAGTTTTTGTAAACTTTAAAATTAATTTTTTTTACAGATAATTTTAAAACCTCATCTTATTCGATATAATTAAAAAAAAAATTTATTATTAAATTTAAATTTTAAATCTTTAAATTTAATTTAACGAGATAGCATTTACTAACAACAAATAATGTATTATAAATTTAAGTTCCGTTTGAAATTGTGATGAGTTTTTTTTCGTATAATCGTATAATATTTTAATATATATGTGTTTAATATATATGTATTTGGTAATTTTTAAAAATTTTTTTTTTTAAACATTGTAAAAAGTTGTAATAAATTTACAATAATTTTATATATAAAACTAAAATTTTTATTTTAAAACTTTCTGCTTATGATTTTTATAAAAAATATTTAATATTTAATATAATTATAAAATTATTCATTAAAGTTTAATTTTTTATAATTTAATTACATAATAATTTATAATATTTTAAGAATATTAACAAGTTCAAAAAACTTAAATTATTAAAAAATAATAAATATGATTTATTTTAATAATTATATATCTTATAATATTTTTTAAATTTTAATTAATAATTAATAAAATTTATCATATTTCATCTATAATACTTTTAAAAAATAAATAATCAAATATCAAAATAACTTTCAATTACAGTTACAATACATAATATAATATAATTTAATACAATTACAATCATAATATTTCACGATAATTCCAAACATATCCTAAGTTATTAAACCAACACAAATTAATTTAGTTGTAGGCCAATGTAAAATAATGGAGAACATGTCATTTTGAAAAAGAAATATGTCATAGTGGTGTGTTAAAAAATTATATTATTTTACTAATAATCTAAAAAATTTAATTTTTTTTTAAAATAAATTTAAATTGAATAATATATAAGTAAGATAAAGTAAAAGATAAGAGAAATATTTTTTATTTTATAAGTTAAAATTATAAAAAAAATTATTATATCATTTTAATAGAGAAGCACTGGGAAAGAGAAATAATGTAAAAAAAGTTATTTTAATATTTTCTTATAAAAATTTTATTAAAACTTTAAAATAAATTTCTAACTAATCTGGTGATAAATATTTTTTCTTTTTAGTTTAAAATTAAGTTAATATTTTTCAGATTTTGTTTTCTAAAGTTATTTAGTTGAGGATAGTTCTCTCATTGAATTTTCAAAAATTTTAAATATGTAAGTACAATTTACTGCAACCCAAATTGTAAAATAGGAAATTTCTAAATGGATTACTATAATAAATAAAAAACTTTAACAATCAACTCCAAGTATAAAAGATAATGATAATAATAATAATAGTACCAGCAAGGAGCTCTTCCTTAATTTTCTAGCAGCATAAATCTTCAAAATTATCAAATTAGCTATACTACAAAGAATCTAAAACACTTAATTTTCACCTAATGATCTATACCTTACACCAGCATGTGCTCCGTGCTCCAGTTGGTGAAGCCGGAGGAAATATGATTTATTTTCTTTTGAGATTTGATGCTCAGATTCTCTGCAGTTTCTAAAAGGTATAGCAGAGACAGAGAGAATACAAGTGTAAGTAGAGAATATGCATCTACAAAATAGGCACAGTTAACAGAGTCAAGTGTGGGAAACAGAAAAGAATGAGAAAGAATGTCTTCTGATCATACAAATTTCAACTATTGATAGGAAATGGTGTAGAAGACTAGTCCGGAGGAGAGATGAGACCTACTTCTTTACAAAATGGTACCAAGTAGCCATATGTGTAGGAGAAGGCAATAGGTGATGAGGCCTAGCCTTGCTCGGGGACGACTACTTAGAGCTCGCCCACCCGACACCCTAGAGAGATTATAAAAAGGTGTAAGGGAACTTTTCAGAAAAAAAAAAAAAAAAAAAAGCCAAAGCATGGAAGCATTTCTTGTTTAAGTTTAGAAGAAAACTTTACCAAAATCCATCAACACGATCTGCAATC